ATATATTGTGTCTTAAGCAAGTTTATTTGACGCGAAAAACTTCAAAAATGAGTTCCAATGAGCTATAGCTTTGCGATTTAATTGGCTGAGCAAAATGACGAACACGAAGTTATTTTCTGTTCCTAGTTTCCCATTTAACGCTAATATACCTTAGAATCATTTTACCCAGCTAGTGTTTCTTCTTCACCACAAACAATCCACGCTTTTGACGAACCAACATCTGGTGAAAATAAAGGAACAATATTAAAGTCCGTGACAATGAGTTCAAAGATAAAGACATATAAGCAAAAAATTGCCATTGGTGAGAACACAACCTTTGCATCATTAATCGCCTTCGTCACTAATAGAGCAGCTCCACCTGCGGGAAAACATTTCGTAATTCGATCCGTTGATGAAACGATCGAATTTATACCGGAAGATTTAGTGAAAGATGTGATAACCGGTATGGAACATGCAGATATTCTCCTTACTTTGGAAGATGATGACCCTCTCAACGTTTTGTCTTTAACGCGTGACGCTAATGACACTGATATCGTTTCGACAACTCACCCTTCTATGCCAATGCTAATTTCCCAGTTCCACCGCCTACGATCAATAATGATGCTGATTTATTGATTGACGCAATCCAACCCACTAACATCATTTCAACAACCGCCAATCCTCCTCCTTCTATGCTTAATATTCTACCTTTTACGATCAACGATGATGCTTCTTTATTGATTGACACTGATACTGTTTCGACAACCACCAATAATATTCCTTTTGTGTTCGATGTTAATTCACCAACTTTCCCTTCTACGATCAACGACAATACTCTTTTTTCTTCCTTCTATGCTTAATATTAATTCACCAACTCTATATAGCAAATTATAGAATGATCCTGGAAAAACAGAAATTTTTCTAATACAATACATGATACATGTATTATATGTACTATGGCAGTTGTCGTAGAAATATTGTTAGAGAATGAATAATATTTAAAATCGCTTGATTATAATATTTTAGAACAAAATTGTTTCGTTTTTAATTAACTGCATATACATTACAGTCGCCGCAAAAAGTAACGCCTGATTATTTTAAAGAATAAAATTTCGGATTTATTTTATTTCTGTCTTATGAACATAAAAATATTTTTTATCACTAGCTAATGCATTCATATGGCTCTAATATCGCTTTGATTTCTCAAGACATTGAGCCTACAACCTTCTCAAAGTCAACACGTTGAATTTCATTCAGAATAGTCTTCAGCTTTTTCGCGATCCTTGGAAAGCTTTTGTACTTTTGAACATTGTTCTCTGATGACTTGCAGATATTTCTATAAAGTCAGAGTTGAGATAACACGATATTCATTGATTTTATCTATTTGATTCTATTCATGGCTTCTTTCCCTAATGTAGATTTCCCCATCTTGGTTAATGGTCCAGGCTCAGGAAAGAACCGATTTTTTCCAGGAATTGCTAACTTTATTACGCAGCCAAACTCGACAATATACAAATGACAATGCACTTCTAGATTCAATCGAAAAATTGGATGTTCACTATCAATGTCACCTGTCATCTTTAGCAATGCTACTCCTGCATCAGTGGAAGATGTGCACATTGGTCAAACATCAGTTGCATTGCGAAGCATTTTATAGCTGGTTAGTTTGATCAATTTCGGAAAGTGTGTGGCAAAGACCGTTATGGGCTTTCAATTAGCAAGACACTTGACGTTATTTTTAAGAATCCTACCACTAATATTAACTTTATCATCATCGTGATTGATGGATTAAACAATCTGCACAGTTTGTCCAATAAGAAGGATCCGGTTCACTCAATCATACATGCTGTTGGAGGTTTAAATTGCGCTGGTAGAGATAAACTCTATGTATTAATCTTAGCTGGAACTATTCAAGACCATGTTCAAGAAATATTCATGGGATCAACATATATTTATTTACGTTTATCACTTCGTCTTCTTCAGGATGAGATGGTGTGGAATATTAGCAAAAATATTGCTGATTCTGAAGATTTAACAGAATACATCGACAGGAACATTTTTCATCACTGTATTAGTGAACTTAGTGGTCAGGTTCGAGCTCTGAAGTTATTCTATTCCAGTTTTTCAAATCAAGTTAGATAAAAAAACAAATCACGTGAATTATGTGTATATAATGTCAAAAGTGAGGATTTACTTAAAGAGCAATATCCACTTACAAATAACACCAGCAATTGTACGTGCTATTCTTAATATTTCTGTGTATCGGTATGATATAACTGATATAGATTGGCAATTTGGCAATTAACTTACATTGATCTTTCATTACGTGGTGTTTTAAATTTGGAGCCAATGCGTATTGGCTTTTATGAACGTATGCCATACATGTGGATGCAGATATTAACATCATATAACAAAATATCGATGTTATGTCTGATCAGAAATCACATGTTTACTAGCAGGATTTTGAAGATTTCAACATGCGATTCTGGACTTTACATCTTCAGCTTCTTTCAGTATTAAATAGCCAGTAATCATAAAAGAGGTGCATCTGGTATTAATTATCCACGTTGTAAAACTTCAGCTTTCTAATGTATATTCAATGCAATATAATGAACTTAAATTTTTCTATCCTGACACAGTACAGGATTTACACTTTTCACTAGCACAGTGTATAAGATTGTGCGGGTCTCTTTTTTTCCTGGTGATTACCTTTTTTTGCCATTCAAGTCAAGTCTTCAGATGTCACAACTAATCTTAGATGAGAAGACAATGAAGACTGAACACAATAAAATGGAAAAAGCATTCAATGCATTGCAGAATTCATTTAAAGGAGAATATTTCATTAAAAACTGGGTCCTTTTTATATGTATAAATGGATCAAGGACGGCATATTCTTTTGGGTTCGTTACAAAAAAGCTGTTTCGGATATATATTTTCCAGCCGCACTGAATTTTCCGCACGTATAGGTTTATTTTGTGTTTCAAGATATCTTTATATCCTTATGTAGCCTTTTATGTTTGTCTGCATAGCTAATGACATGATAGATGTCAATACTGCTGAGGATTACGAATTGAAAACAATCAATGGAATAGAAGAGGAAACTGCAAAAGAAGTATGTAGAAATGATCTATATAGTAAGGTGAACATAAATTAGAGGCAAGAAAAGGATTAAGGCGATATAATCAGTAACAATTAATAATATTCATAATAATAATAACAATAAGAATATCAAACAAACCAGTAATATATTTTGTTGATAATTGTTACTCGAGGATCAAGCGAATAAATTGAATTAGCTTTTTCATCCTAATAGTCTCTTGTACATTTATTAGCAAATCTATTTCTCTAGAAAAATTCGTTGAACAAATTGATACGAGTTATGACATTTGAATTTAGCCATTTATAAGGATGAAATTACATGTTTCGACAAACTTTTGTCCCATTGCGGATCCCTAACTGCTGAGTTATATGCGTAAAGTCAAAAAATATAGAACAGATAAAAAATAAAGTTATACATAATTTTTGATGGAGCTATAGGTATTGGTCGTTTTCGATTTTTGAAAACACCGAAATTTCTAAAACTGGCACCAAGTCTAATAATAAAATTTTCTATTCAGTGAATCCGCGAATGATTGGAACAGATAGCTTTCTCTCCTCTTTAGAAGGGACAAAAAAACAGAAGATACTAAATAGAACCACCTATGCATAACGATAAATCTATGCTCAGGATTTGAATGTTTCTAATTTATAATACGATAATGCAAATTAGTATTTTTATGATGAGGAGAAAATTATAATATTTAACTATTTTCTTTATTGTACGCATGGAACAATTTTTTGTCATTTCAATTTTCTGGTATTACATCAACACTGAATATAAAGCATATTCTGTATGAACTTTAAAATCTCAAACTAGATTTATGTTCTTTTTGTTATAACTAATACGGACAACTTAATAGTAAGGTATAATTACACTCATTCTTATCATTATTGTTATAATTATGTGAGGATTTTGTTCTTGTTGTAGATACTGTTTTGATCTCTTTTAATATTATTTTATTGTCTTTTGATATTGTAATATTCTTATAATATCATCTTGATATCATTGATGATTAATATTTTGTTTACTTAATTTTAATTATTTCATATAGTTATTAATGAAACTATAATTTTAAAAAATATATAAATAGGAATGGCATTCTTCTTAAAAAGATTATAAGAGCTAGTTATATTTTACATAACTTTTATTGGAAGCAACTATTAAATTTTATTTTTCATGCATGCACTTTTTTTCTTTGCATTTTTCTGGTATCTTTTCGTAAATTCAATGCCATATTCCAGTTTTCAAATACTCTTTAATATTTCAATCTGAAAGAAGAATTTCTGTTAGATTTCTATTTGTAGCTTTGTGAAATTTTGACTAATGAGCTAATAAACTTCAATCTTTGAACGCAAAAAAAAATATTTAATTCATCAGCAAGTAAAAGATGGATTTCATTAAGTTTTATTTATGGAAATTATATATAAGAACATTAACATACAAAGTATGAATTTTGTAAGAATTTTAGAAATCTAATATATAATAAAATCATATGTAACTATTAAGAATAAGCATTATTATGAGGATACAAAAAAGTTGATATGAATCTAGTAAAAAGCCATAGAAAAAATGTATGATATGACGTTTGTATTAATTCCTAATGATAATCACATTCTTAGAAGTGCAAAGTAAATTCTTATTATTAGTGTTGAATTGATATCATAAAGTGTAATGTTGACGTTACAAGATAAGAATTTTTGTTAGAATTTAGCATAGAATAATTATTTCATGACACATTATAGGTACTACATGTAATTGGGTACAAAATTATCAGAATTTTTGCAATCACGGGATTTCGCAGAATAACTGATGATTTACAATTCAATACCATTCGTTTTGCATAATTTTGTAGATTCTTGATGTCCATGATATGCGGCTAATTTCAAATATTCTTCTCCTTTCTTCTGATCTTTTTTCGTTCCTAATCCATTATAGTATGAATTCCCAACGCAATGACATTCCCATGATCAGCCGACCGAATGAAATAATTCAATGCATGTGAAACATCTTTTTCAACGCCATCTCCATTCCATAGACAATAACCATATCGAAGTTCAGCTTCCGGGATTTCACAGTCATTTGCTGCCTGTTTGAATAAGTTTGCTGCCTCACGTAATCGCTGTTCTTTAGATGTTTCTGCTTCGGACCATTCAAGAATGTTGTAGTAAAGGTAGTATCCGACCCAATATTTTCCAAGGGGGTCTCCAATGGCCTTATATTCATTAAATGTTGTCCATGCAAGCTGTTTGTTTTTCTTTCTGTGTTCTTTGATAGCATCAGATAATGGAATTTTAGGGGTTACAATTACTAATTCTTCTGGAAATTTGGGTTCATCTTCGTCTTGATGGTCGTCATCTTGTTGAGTTTGATGGCTTTCTACATTAGCACGCCTTATCTTAGGTGACGGAGATGTCTGTGTTTTTAACCAAATAGGATAAAGCGTTTTAAAGAGATCAGTTATTGAAGCTCGCATGATGGGTTCGTCGTGGACAGCTAATAGAATTCTCGATTAATATGAATTATTATTTCTAAACTTAATGAATAAAACATAAATATATAATTTAGATAAGCAAGCTATTATCTTTAATTAGGATTTAATTATTAATAAATTTAGTCTTGATAAGTTCAGTCATGCTCTGCATAAATTGGGCAAATTGTTCTGAGTTCATTTTGATAAATTTATTAATAAGCAAACCTTTGTTTACTATTTGTTTATATTCACGTGGTATATTTGGATTAGAGAAGGGTTCTCGATATTTGTCATTAACTACCCTGACATATTTCGACAATATCATAAGGAATAACTTCATGAGGTATTTTTGCTTCTGCTATTTCCCAAAGCAATATCCCAAAACTAATGATTACAACACGAGAAAATCTTAACATATTATATAAGAGATAATTTATAAATATAAAAATAAAAATAAATACCTGTAAATACCAGATTTAGAATCGTAATAATGTTTTTGACGTATATTATCAGTCATAATTATTGCAGCATCACTAAACCCTCTTGGAAGAAAATTTCCTATTTTCGCTTTAAAACCATCGCAAATGAAAATATTTTCACTTCGGATGTTATGATGAATAATGTCGACTGCTTGAAGATAAGATAATCCACGACAAATATCCAGGGCAAATTCAATCTTTCTTTTCCAATCAAACAAATTAGGGTGTTGCGTATAGAATTCTCGAAGATTTCCATATTGCACCCATTCAGTGACTAAATACTTTTTAGTACCTTCATTTGCCAAGCCATAGAATTGGATGATATTTGGGGATTCGCATAGTTTCTTTAGAATCGTTACTTGGATATTTGATTCCGGCTCCTCCGCCAAGGCCATCACTTTGAATGCCACATCTTTATTATCTGATTTTCTTCTGCGTTTTTGCACTTTTCCTTCATTATTTTCTTCTCTTGCTGGAAAAAATTTGTTAATATCCAATGATTTATCTCCAATAATTTCTAATACATTTATTTGTTGCATGTTTGTGGCTTGTTGTTGTTGTTGCCTTTGATAAAGTGAATTTAGTGCTTGTATTCCTTCGATGGCAAATGAAATTTCATCATGATGAGTTACAATACCACCATTAATTGTAACAAGGTACTATGAAATAAATGTAGTCTTTAATAAGTATTATTGAAAATTCAATAAATAATAATTATTAATCAATTGATACATGCATTCTTTAAATCCTCTATGCCTTGTTCAATTACTTCATGATCTTTTTGCTGTTGTGACCTGGCATCAATAGTGATAGTAAAATGCAATTGTGCCATACGCCCATCAAATTCTAACGTCAATTCTTTAAACTTTCTTTTGATCTGATTAATTTGTGATACGCCAGTCGTAAATTTCCTTAGACCCTTCATTTGTGAAACTTCCAAAATAAATCGTTTGGTTCTTTCAATCGTATTTTTAAACTTTTGAAAAGTTCTAAAATTATTAAAATTTTTAAAGAATTCACGATATTCATTTTTACATATTTTGAGATTCTTCACAGCAGCTTCTGCCGCAATCATACGATCCAACAGTACACCACAAACACGTTTATTGTGTTCGGCAATTTGGTAGAGATTTACGGTTCCTTCAACTATTTTCAATACATCGGTGATCAATGGAGGTATTTTAAACAATATAGTTAACTTTTTATATACATGTATGTACATGTACTTTACGTTTCACGGGTAGCACCAAACCATGTTCTTTACAGACCTCTACGGATAAATATGATTCCGACATGGACATTAATTTCTTGAAAATGATGTCATATTAATTAATATAAGGTACATGATGCCGCCCAACATCCTGACAACCCAACTTCCCGACATTATAGGGATCGACAACTAGCATTTATTAACATTATAAACATCAAAGCGATAAATAATTTTTGGTAACTGCGCAACTTTATTTTTAATTCGTTAATAACTAATTGATTTATCATAAAAGGGAATTGAACGTAAATTTTAATTACATATAATAAAAAGTTAAGGAAATTGAATGTATATCTTATATAAAAGAATAAAAGCAACACATATCATTACAAAGAAAAATTCCACAAAGAAAATCTAACACAGAACGATTTGCTCGATCATTAGTAACATTTCTAATTCTTCTCCTCTCTATCAATTATTGAATTTTGTCGGGATGTTGGGTTGTCGGGATGTTGGATTTCGGGTAGACCCAAGTATATGTCGATTCATAACTATCAAGTTTCCGCCACAACATTAAATAGCAGTGATAAATGAATTCAATGTCCCAATATCGGATATAACTTTATTAAATCGGTGTTTTCTACCAAGATACATGTAATTAGATTCGAAAATACGACCAGAAATATCTGTTTTTTTATTGCTAAAGTTTGAAGTTTGATTCAGGAGATTTATTGAATGATGCAACATCTATTTGATTTTTGATACTTTAAATCTTTTTAACTCGTTACTATATTTTTCTTTGATCTATAGAGAATGCGAGTGACCTACAAGAAAAACTACAATTTCGTAAATGCACCCCGTCAAGAAAAATGATTGACGATAAACGATAAACGATCAATTGATAATGACGATATTTTACGTGATTCAAAGCAAAAGGAGTATAAATGCTTTGGATCGTTATATGAACATGGATTGCTTGAATGATAGCAAAACAAACGAGATAATCGTTTTCGTTATTCATGTACAATTACACGTACATGTAGTGATGTACAAAGACACGTACACATATTAGATGCTTGGTACAAAAGTAACGCCCGATTTGCATGTGTAACAACATGAACAAATATAAGTGTTGCGTTTTTCCCCTTTTTGCAATTGTTGACCCTAAATTTTTTATTTTTTACTTTTACTTTAAACATACATTAGGCGAATTTTGTTAGATGTAAATATGATACCTTGATGACAAGGATAAAATAGTAATTTTTATTGAAGTTATGAGTACCAAGCAAGCTGCAAGAAAAATGTGCCATTACCCAATGATAGTATAATAATCTCTTGCTAAGTACAAAAGAAACAGAAAAACGAATATTTATTACTATCTGGAAGGCCATAAGCTCTTAACAATCAAGAAAAAAAATGCATATGTACAAAAGATATCTCATGATATTGGTAATAAAAAATCTGCAAAGCTTATCTGAAGCTTCTCTAAGGTAATTTGTTCCTTCTTATAATATGGTTTATTTGAGAGAATATGTTATTTCAAAAAAACAACATTTGATCTACATTGAGAAAAAACCATAAAATACAGAGGCCTGACAGAATATTGTGAGCGCATTTAAATTTTAAATATCAAGCTAAATAAGTAAAATGTTTAATAAAATAAAAATTTTAAATTCGTGAAAAGTTTAGCTCTCAAATAAAAAAGATGGATTTAAAAAATTTATAATATTTTTATTAATAAAGAAAAGTATTATAATGAAGAAAAATACATGATATCTTGATATTTAATAATTAATATCACATAAAATTGCTACTATTTGATTTATTATAATGAGAAAAATTGGATAATAATATTTTTGTGTAATTTTAATCATTACATATTGAATTATTATATTTAAAAGTCATATTATACTAAAATTTCAATCTAAATTGACAATCAATTTTATATATAATTACTTTTATAAATAATATTTTTATCATATAATAATTGTAATTACAATAGAATATTATTATTCAATACATTGTAATTACTAATAGTTTTTAAAATATCTTTTTTTAAAAAAATAATTTGATTTTAGTTTTTTTAGTAAAATAATACTTTATTTATTATTAAATTAAAGTATAATAGAATAATTAAAATAGTATAAAAAGTTAATTTAGATCAGTGAAAATAACATAATTATGTTATTTCCACTTAGTCTAGATTATGTATGTGTTGTAATCCAATTTTTATGACACAAACTGAGATGTTATGATCTAATTTTTATAACACAGACTGAGGTATCATGATCCAAATTTTATAACATGGATCTGAGATGTTTATAGTCTATATATCAGATGCTATATAGGTTGTATTTGTATTGCTAATTGAGAACTGCTAAGATATGTATTAGTATAATATGTGTTTTGCATTTTAGATTACACTCAAGTAATATACATTTTGCTTGTTATAACACACACCAAGATGGTATATTTTATATATCAAGTCACATGTAACATAATGTATATTACTTTAGTAATTATGATCAATTTCTGTCATGAGCAAAAAAAATATATCTGATGATGCATTCAGTCACATATCATCATTTGTGAATCCAATATGAGAACTAGGTTTGAGATATATAATACCAAATTATTAGTAATATTAGCTTTATATAATTCATTCAAATATCACCTAAGAATAAGATACATAAAATTTAATAAGAATTCTGTTACTAATTTTTTTTCTTATTATTACCAAAAATTTTTAGTGATAGTTATACATATTAAGATAATATATACAGGAGGTAGAAAGAAGTATTAGACATTTTGTGCATTTTTAAATTGATTTATATCATTGGATCTTGTGTTTTTTTTGACAATTATTATATAATAAATTATTTACATATAGTGACAATCTATAATCAAAACAAATCTCATCTTTGTATAATACATCCAAGAGTTATAAAGCTACATGCAATTTCCTCTTAAAAAATCACCCTTTAAATTTTACCACATAATGTGTCATGGAAAAAGAATTAACAGAAAGTCAGAAAGGTGAAATTATTATTGCAAAAAAACTTGGCCATACACATATCAAAGTCTCTAAGATTGTAAATTATTTTGTAATTCACATGTTAAAAGCACATGAGCTTAAAAAATTATCTAAAAATAATCAGACCATCTACCAATTCATAACAAATCCACATGCAACCATCTCAAGGCTTCAGTAATCCAAAACAAAAATTCTTACTATCAAACTCTTTTTCAGATCATATAAAGTATTAAAATCATTATATAAATATCTGAATCATTCTATGAATAAATAAATATCAGAATCTTCTATAAATAAATAAAATTAAATAAAATAAATCATCCAATATTTCTTTCATCTCCCGTAGATGATCTGATCATTTTTTAGATGATTTTTTAAGCTTGTATGCTTCTAACATGTGGATCATAGAAGAATAGGAATAATCTACAGCCTTAGAGACTTTGGTATATGTGTGGTCAAGTTTTTTTATAATAATAATTCCACCTTTCTGACTTTCTGTTAATTCTTTTTCCATGGCATATTATGCGGTAAAATTTAAAGAGTGATTTTTTGAGAAAAATTGCACGTAGCTTTATAACTCTTGGATGTATCATACAAAGATGAGATTTGTTTTGATTATAGATTACCACTATATGTAAATAATTTATTATAAAATAATTATCAAAAAAAATACAAGATTCAATGATATAAATCAATTTAAAAATGCATGAAATGTCCAATACTTCTTTCCACCTCCTGTATATTAATTATTATACTTTTTAATTAATTATTTTTGTTTTTATTTTCATTTATATAAATTATTACATTTTTTAGTTATAGTTTTCTTTGATTAATAGTGGTTTTACTTATTAATCATCATAAATCTTTAGTTTTATTAATTAATAGTGGCTTCACTAATTAATTATAATAATTCTTTTAAT